CGCCGGGATGGGGGGCCTGGGCGGGGGGACCCTGTCCCGGGCCACCCGGGCGGCGTCGCGCGCCTCAGACCCGAGTCTTTGAGGCGGGGACCACGCCTCCTTGGCCACTTCTCCGTTTTGTCACCTTAAAACGGATACAATCCAAACCCAAAACAGACCAAGCAGCCAGAATGGCCGCCAGGAGGAGGACGCCGGAAGTCCCGCCCCAGGTGGATGAAGTCTGACGGAAATGCTTTCATCCCGACCTGTCATTGGTTGGACTCAGCACGTAGTCTTCTGGGTAAAGTAGTCCCGCGAGCTTTAGAGGCCACCAGGAGCGCGTTCGCCTTGAGCGGAATCGAACTGGCCCCCTTTGGGCGCGCGGGCCGCTGCCCGGCCCGAGGAGCCCGCTGGCCAGGGCGGCCGTTTCCGTTTCACAAGGCGCTGGGGCAGAAGGTTCCAGGGCGCTCTCTGGGCGCCCACCGGGTGCCTGGTGGCAGAGCCAACGCCTGTAGAACGTGAACAAGGCCCAGAACGGGTGCAAAGTGAGGCCCAGAGAGCCGGGCCTTGGCCTGCGGTCATGGCGATTGCCAGGGATTTGGGATTTGAACCCAAATTTCAGGGGACAGGTTCGGAGGAGTCTGGTCACTGATCGCTTTTGTTTGGCTCCTGGGCGGGCTCTGGGTCTCAACAAATACCACCCACCCTCAGCACCGGTGCACCTCTTAAGTCTTGCTCCAAACCACCAACCCCGGGTAATAAGTCACGAAGATGGGTGAACACTGAAAGCAAGACATTACCAAATGCTTGAACTTAAAAAAGTGATTAAGTGTATTAATAACGCAGATTGTTTTAAGTGTAGGATATGTGTCTATAACACTGTGTACACCAAAAAAATTTTTTTTAGTAGGAAGTATTTTTCCAGTATTGAAAATTATTCGAGAAAATGAGTTACATCTGTTAAGGAGTAAAAATGAGTGACATTGTAACATATCTGTTATTTCACTCCTTTGTTCTTTTTGTTTTTACTGTTTTCTTAGTTAAAATAGCCTAAATTCATAAAAACATAGGTAAATTATTTGATCGCACATTTTACTAAAATCTTATCAGTACTAAATACAAATGTCCAAAAATGCTCATCTCAAATTTTTATGAAAATGCAACTAAAGCAGCAGAGATAGCACAGCAAACTTATTTAAAAACTAAAATTAATAAAGTTGAAACAAGTCATTAGCTTGGTTCAGGGAAATGGAACCCTACTACACCACTAAGGGTGCAAAAATTTACAATCAGTTTTACCACAATTTTTTACATTCTTTAAAAATTAAACGTATGGGAAATGTCTGCACTGCAAACATTCATATTAAGTTTAACTCAGATAGATAGCTACTCAGTTTCCTTCGATGTTGTTACACTGAACAAGACAATAACACATTTCCAGAGTGTGAACTACTCAATGTCAAGATAGGCTAATTTTATGGCTAAATAATTTCCTACATTCACTTCATGACTGAAACATTTAACCAGTGTGAACTATCTGGTAACAGAGGCTACAGCCACTGGTAAAAGATTTCCCACATTTGCTGCCAATATTAGGCCTTTCTCTTGTGTGACCTGATATCAAAAAATACTACGAGGGAAAAGATTTCCCACCTTTTTGCACTCAAAAGGCCTGTGTGAATTCTCTGATGACAAAGGCATAGTTACAGGTAAAAGATCTATTTAAGGGACTCATAACACCTTTCTACAATGTTAACTCTTATGATAATGAAGGTTACTGATACGAAGATTTTCCACAATCACTACAGACAAAAGACCCTTCTCTTATGTGAATTCTGATAACAGAGGATAGAGCTACTGGTAAAATATTTTACCCATTCACTGCACTCATCACACCTTTCTCCAGTGTGAACATTTTGATGAGAACGAAGGTTAGCACGCTGGATACAAGATTTCCCACATTCATGGCATGCATAAGGCCTTTCTCCAGTGACTTCTCTCATGAAAACAGAGACTTCTAAAGGAAAAGGTTTTCCCACATTCGTGGCCCATATAAGGCCCTTCTCCAGTGTGAACTCTTTCATAATGGAGGCCACGGCTTATAAAAGATTTTCCACATTCACTACACTTATAAGGCCTTTTTCCAGGATGAAGTCTCTGATAATAACAAAGGCCAGAGATTGTGTAAAATATTTTCCACATTCACTGCACTCTTAAGGGTTTTCCTCAGTGTGAACCCTCTGATGTTTAATGAAGCTGGAACTTTGGCTAAAGGATTTCCAACATTCAGTACACCCATAGTTTTTCTCCAGTGTGACCTCTCTGGTGTTGAGTGAAGTTAGCACATTGGCTAAAGGATTTAAAAGAGCCCACCAGGAGGTTGAGGGTCTCACCCAGTGAGGATATAAAAGCAAAGTTCTGCAGCATCACATCACAGCACAGGCATCTCTGAGACCCATCAAGGGTCTCCATTCTGTCCTTGAGCATATCACCGTGTACTTCTCCAAGTTCACACCAAACTGTCAGAATACAAATGAATTCAGAACAGCCTGAGAACTCACAATCCTATTCTTCCCCATGCCAACCCATTCCAGGGTACCCCATTTCAGAGAAGACAAGGAGCCTTGGTGCCAGTGCTGCTTGCTCTCTCATCACAGTCCCACCAATCACTCTTACAGGCCTCAGCAACAACAGGTAAAATAAGAGCAAGGGGAAAAGGTCGGATAAATGCCATTTAAACTCTGAGACATGCCAGCAGGGCTCCATCCTTCCTGCCAAGCAAGTCTACTGGAGTGTCCCAGATCATTCCTACAAGACACAGCAAAACATGGGCTTATGCTTCACCCTTAAATCCACACACCAGGTACCCAGGACCACCAGCTCAAACATCCTCTAGCTGTGCTCAACATTTAGTAATCTCCACCTCCACATCTTCAGACCCCAGGTTCACTCCCTCGGCTCTGCCGCCTTGGCCCTGGAGCAGAAAAGAGCACGTCTCCATCCTGGACCCTTCCCCAGATTTTAGACCCTTGCGTCAGCTGCTCACTCCATGTTTCCACTCACTGGTGAAACTTCTCAAAATCTTAACCAAAAGAACCTTTCAATTCCCAAAGAAAATGAAACCTACCACCATCTTTCCCAGCACAGATGATGGAGCCTCCATTGCTTTAGCTGCTAGGACCAAAATCCTTGGGGTTGTTCTCATCTTCTTCCCTTCTCCCCCACAGCTATGTGGACAAAAAGGGGCCACAAGCTAACATGACAAGCTCAGGGAAGGCCAGGGTGGCGGCCTTGCAAACTTGGAGACATAAAGAAACCACAAAGTAAAAATACATTTTTACTCTTATCCAATACGACGGTTTTTCCTGCTTTGCTTTTTCCTGACTGCCTAACCTACTACCATAAAAGGATTTTATGTTCCCCTCTTATGTTTTCCCCTTTGATTCTGATGTACAAAATAGGTGGAAAAGCTGCCACTTTGATGTTTCTCTCGCTCTACCCCTCCCTCCGTCTCTGAAAAAGCAATGGAAAATATCCTCGCGTGAGGATTAACAAAGATCAAACCGTTAACTTGTGCATTAGCATAAAAAATTTGAAATATACTAGATTATTCCAATATGAAAAACAATAATTCTATAAAGCAAAAAAGGCTCAAAATGAGTGAAATTCAAACATGCATCTTTGTTCTTTCACTGTCCTTTTTTAAAAGAAAATTGAAAAACTGAGATTAGGTTAAACGTATTATTATTTTACCAAACATACAGAGACAGCAAATACACATCTGAAAAAAGGTTCTCCATAAATCCTTAAGGAAATGCAATCAAAGAACAGTGAGGTAACATGACGAAGTTATAAAAAGGGTTGAAATAAAGGATGATTGATCAAACCAAATATTCTCTAGGATGGGGAGGAACTGAATCCCTCAAACACTGTTGGAAGAATGCAGAAAGAACAATCAGTTTAGATCACAACTTGCTAATATCTTTAAACATTTATCTAGCCTAAAACTTAGACAATGCACTGAGTTACTGACAGAAGTAAATGAAACATACCTCCATATAAAGAATTATACACACATACTTGTACCAGCTTTCTCATTTTTAAAAACATTTATTGATTTTAAAGACAGAGAGGGAGATAGACAGAAGCATTGATTTGCCATTCCACTTACTTATGCATTCACTGGTTGACTCCCCAATGTGCCCTGACTGGGGATTGAACCCAGAACCTTGGCTAATTGGGATGGCACTCTACCCAACCAAGCTACCTGGCCAGGACCCAGTTTTATTTTCAATAGTCAAAAATTAGAAATAACACAATGTTCATGAACTAATGAAAGAATAAACTAAGGGTGATATATATCCAAAGATAAAAAGACTATTTCTCAGCAAAAGAAACAATGACCTACTACTACATCATTAAATAAATCTCCAAGTAGTTATACAACATAAATGAAAGCAGGAAAAAACACTTTTATTGCCATGATATAAATTCTATGAAATTTAAGTTGTCTATTAATATAAAAAGTAAAGTAATGGTTATTTGTACAGCTGTGAAGTACAGGGAGAGATTATAAAAGGACATTAAGTAAGTACACAGTGATAGATATGGTCAGTACTATGACTTTGGTGATGGTTTAATACATGTCAAAATTCATCAGATACTATACTTGAAATATGTCATTTACTATGTTTATTATACTATACTAAAGCTTTTTAAAAATGTCAAGATAAAAAAAAAATTGTCTCTCCAACTTTTTAAAAAATACATTTGGCAGTTCTATATGCCTTCTGAAGGCCAGTCTTGCCTTAGTGTCAGCAAAAATAGCAATTAAAGACTTTCACCAAAATCAACAGGAATGCTAGCTGGGTCACAAACACTACTACACCCCTGGACTATACATACCCCTTTTCTTTATTTTTGACTTTCTGCTTGGGTACCAATTGTCTTGAGGTGAACATCTGAGACCCTATAAAAATTCACAAAATCTTCTGATTATTTTCAATAAAAATTACTTCAGCGATGGAAGATAAACATGCCTGGATATCCTCAGATTTCTGTACACAATGATATATTCTCTTTACAGAAGTGTTTCTGGATGCATGTTTACAAGTGGCACATTCCATCCAGTTCACTGCAGTGTCTTACAATATCTAATAGACTAGTGATTCTGTAGCACTCATGGTTTCCCTTAAACCCTATGGTCCTACAACCATAGAGACCATCAACCATGTAACTGTAGACATCAGGGCACATGGCTCTTTACAAGAACTTTGATAGCGATAACCTTCAAAAGTACTGGCAGGCCTTGTGAAGTGAACAAGGTACATATTTTTGCTGCTCCCAGAAGCACTTGAGGTTGCAACACCTCCAATGCCTCAGGGTGATTTCTGAGTCTCCTAAAACTCATAGCATTCAGGCTATACTTGACCAGAAAGTCCTGCAGCCTTTCCAAGGAGGATATGAACAGCAATGCAAATTTAGGGAAACATGGTGACCTAATTTCTGCCACCATCCCATCCCATGAGACAGAGAAATTTTGAGACCCCCCCCATAAAAGTTGTCCACCTCTTCATGCTTGTAGAGCCCAAATTTGCTTATAAACTACACCACAGAGTCAACAGTACACCCAAAATTAAAGAGGACTTAAACAATAAGATATTCATTATTTTACAAACCAAAGGGATATCGACCTGGCAGTTCTTACATTGGTGACTTTGACGCTGAAAATATTCATCACAGGTACCTAGGGAAACCAGGTCCACGAAAAAAACAGTCCTTCTCAAGCTGTCAGCTGAACTCAGATGATGTTCTCTGGGGTCAACACTGAGTCAGGTCTGTGTCCCAACTAGTCAGAGTATAGGGAATGCAGATGACATAAGGGCTCAGGCTATTCCTAATTTCCTCCAACAAATCAGAGAACAGAGTTAGCTGCCCTGAGCACATTAGGATGTACAAACTGCGGGGACCTGCTAGGTGGTGCAGGTGAAAGCTTAGACCAGAGAAATCTGAGGTTACAAAAATCTGGCAAGAGATGTCTGTAAATTAGAAAGTGCAACATGACACACATGCTTCCCACGTAACTAAAACTTATGGGAAAATCTCCCTACTGTTGTTTGAAGATTAAATTCAGATGAATGGGCCTGTTTCCTCCACTGCTGTTAACACTGAAGACACTCCCCCCCCCCCC